GGGTACCCTAATTTTGGGAAAGTACTACACCTTTCTGGAGGTTTTGACAGCACGACAAGCTTTGGCAATCTCACTCTAAATGGGGTTTACATGGAGAAGTGTCACAGGCCGGTTCTGAAATCGTCATGAATCACCAGGAAATCTGTCGGGGGTCTCAGAAAAGAGGGATGCCCTAAGTCTGGCTAAGGGATGGGGGCTAAGATGAAATATCAAAGAGAAAATGGGTTTTCTAGGGGTATATAGGTGTTAGAGGCTGTATAAGCCCAAATAATTACCAACAGTATGCTCGTAGGTCCTTGGGTAAATACGGTAAAAGCATGGACTTCAACATGATACCTGCAATCATCAGGCTCCCACATCATTACATACATCTTTAAGTATCATTATGTCGCCATAAACTTGCCAAACTGGGACCATTCTAACTTGCTGAAAGGACGATGACGATGAGCAGCCTGGCCAAATTGCTTTTTTGCGCTGGCCTTTCTGGGAGATCGTGGTTTAGGGTTTGGGATTTGGGGATCTTGGGTTCAGGGTCTAGAAAACATATCGACGGGGGGCTCAGCTAGGGTCTCTTTTGGGGGATGCCGAGACCCTAAAAATGGATTCCGAGTTGCCAACCTTCGCCTGGGCCTAGTGGAAGCTTATGACTCATGCAGGCATAAAAGAGGCGCTTAAAAATGCATTCGTTTAGGGCTTCGGGTATTTTCATGGCCGTCACTTTTGAGCCCTCGCATGCCCATGGTGATGATGTTGAGGTTTTTGCTCCAGGCGCTACATCTCAAAAGGTCCAGCACCAGGTGTTCATCAGCATTCTCTGAATTTGGTAGGAGCGAAACCTCCATTAAGCGCCCTTTAGAATTACCATTAGATAGCCCTAGTCATTTTTTGTCACTAGTGCTTTGTAATTTGCCGACCGAGGCATGGATCCCTATAGGAATCCCCAAATGAGTAACGTGCTATTTGGGGATACTACGGTTCCCAAAATAGTGTAAGATTATGTCCTCCTTCTGGGTATAGTATATATAATTATATAATATCTACAGAACATATACCTTACTTGGTTCAGCCACGCAAGAAAGCATTACTCAAATGAGCACTTGTAGCAGTCCCCCTACACCAGAGTCCTTCCCTTCCTTTTGGCCACCGGTGCAAAGTGCTCGAGGCAAGACAAGAAGCGAAAGCAGGAGGAGGAGGCCCGTTGTTTTAGTCTGAAAGCTTTAGGATGTGGATGTCAAGAATGAGGATGCTTTCAGGGAGACATGGAGAGGCCCCCCTTAGGCAATATGTAGGGAGTATGTTGAGAAAGTCCCACAGCGGCTTTAGCAAATGTGCCACCTCAGCAATGGCAAGCCAAGTTGAGATCAACATGCCTGTCCATTTGGTGACCACTGGCTTTTTTTGGTTGTATGAGCTATAGTCAAGCTCCTAGCATCCCCCTCAGTAAGCCCTATAATACTCCTCTATATAATCCCTTTGAAGGAGTTAATATTATAGTTCGTCTAAACCCATATAGACCAGAAGCCTAGCGTTTGGAAGGCCTTAGGTACTGGATACCTGGGAACGTGAACTTCTTCTCTGCCCAAACCTCCGGCACAACTTTGACAGCCGATGCCAGGAGAAGAGCAAAGCAGAAGCTGATAGGACAGGGTAGCGAATTTCTTGTTGAAGAACGCGAGTTTACCCTAAACCCTAAACCCTAAACCCTTAAGCTACGGCTAAAAGGATGCCCGAGTAACTACGTTTCCTTCCTTCAATTTTGCAGCAGCTGAGTTCAAGTTCCACAGCAGCAGCTGGGTTTGCACCATAAGGGTTTAGGCTTCCCTGTGCTGTGTGTAACCTCTTAGCCTCTCGGGTATTCCAAGACCTCATTGGTTCACGTTGGGCTGGGAAAAGCCCTGGATACGGACGTGGGGTTTAGCCGGATTGTGGACGTGTTCAAGCCAAGCTTGTTGCAAAGGGCTCAGCAACATGCTTCAAAGAAATTGGGACTAGTCAGATGTGGCCTAGACCGTAAGCCTCCCTTTCTTTACACATGACCCATGCCTCAAGACATGAGTTGCCTCTGGATTTGCCCATCCTCCTTTTTTTCATCCATTCCTCGTATTGCAGCATGCCATATGAGGATAGAAATTTGCAAATATTCTATATATCTTCCGCAAAGGTGGGCCGCCTTTTCAAGCCCGGGATGATCCTGAGGGTTTAGGGTCCTCAGGGTTATCCTAAACCTGAGACCCTTTCCACCATTCCAAAACACCTCCAGGAAAGCTGAGCGAGAAAAAGAAGAGGCCGCTGAGGAGAAGCGCAAGGTCGAAGAGGACCTGAATTCGCACGCGGTTTGGGGTTGATAGCGGTTTATAGGGTTACGTGGAGGGTCAGGAAGACTTTGCAAGTAGTTGGTGATGACGAGAACTGACGGTTTGTATGTGGCATCTAGGGGTTACACATCTACTTTGAAGTCCCTGACCCTCCGGGGAGGGGTGCTCAAAAACTTGGAATCCCTTTTTTGGAGCCCCGGCAAGAATGTGCCAGTTAGTTGTGGGTGTACAAGAGGGCCCCCCTTTTTTGAGGACACCTTATTAGCCAAGGGCAGGGCCGTGAACTTACTTCACCCTTGTTGCCAAAGACCCACGCACAATCTCCCATGTTCAAAGACTTCTTCTAGTAGCCTACATATATTGGAGAACAGCTTCAGTAGAACATAAAGGGTCGAGAGAATAAAATGTAAGCCGGAAGCAAGTCGTGGTACAAAGGCTTAACTAGAGAACCATAGAATACATAGCGTCCGCAATACTCTAAACACACAGTGCTTAGAGAGATATTCTGACAGGTGTCCCTTGTATCCAAAGTCTACAAGTATAGGCACCGAGCAGGGCCAGCTCTCAGCCTTATGAGGTGGATTCTCGGGGCCCTAAAGGGTATACATGAGACATATACAGGATCCCAGAAGTTAACGCCGATGCTAGGGCTAGGGGGCAATTGCTTGTAGCCTTGTAGCCCTTGACTGTTCTGGAACTTGTTCCTTGGGTGAATGGTATAAATCCTGCATGACCCCAAATACCTTAATCCTTGGGAATTGCTAAGGTCAGGCAGGATTGAGAGTATCAACAGTCCCTCAAGGAAGGACCCATGGAGCTCCTTCTGCAAGCTTCTTCATTGCTTGGTCTGAAAGCGTCCCAGGCCCTTCCAGGAGCAAAGAAAGCTGGGCTTGACGAGTCTTGATAACAGGGTTTAGGGTCTTAACATGGTTGTAGTTACATTGTCGTTCTTTGGGCTTACTCTTCAAAGTTTGGCAACCCTAAACCCTAAACCGTGCCAGGAGAAGCGCGAGGACACCAGGCCACTTTGAGCGGAGACAGTGCTCCTGACCTAGGTAGCAAGGCACTCATGCAACTGAGAGGACAACCTCTATACACATTTACATGCTAATGTCTCCTATTGTGCATTATATATGTTTTCTCTGTACATGCATACAATTCTCGTAATCCTACCATTAAGGAGAGTAGCGTGTGTGGTAGCATCCTGTGATTCCAGGTACGGAATCACTTGCATTCTTGCCCAGAAGCGGAATCCCCCACCGTTGTAGGAATCAGGCTTTATTTTGTAAGGTTTAGGGTTTGGTTTGTAAGGTTCAGGGTTTTGGGTGTAGGGCTTATGGACCTGGAGGACCTTGCCAATGTTTATGTATCACAGGAGGATTTAGCTTGCCTTCCCTCAGGAGTATCGAAGGATAGCTTGCAGAAATTTCCATAGAAGCTTACCAGGTTATCAAAGATTAAAGAAGAAGAGGCCTCAGAGGTTCTACATACTGCGCTTGGCCAAAGAAGTCCTTCTGACTTTCCTTGATGCAGTAGATGGAGGCCGTGTCCTCGAGGTTTGAGTAAGCAACGCCTACGTAGCCCGGGCCCAGGCCCACATCAGTTCCTGAAACCTTGACATTTAGGATGTGCCTCTTGCGGGGTTCTGATTTCCAGAGTCCTGTGGGAGCCCATGCCTCCAAAATAAAAGGAGGCCCAAAAGGGCCCCCCAAAAAGATTATTGTATGAACTATTCCCCCCAAACCATAAACCCAAACACCCTAAACTCTACAACCTTCAATCCCCCCAAGCCCGCAAAATTGATCAATCCCTATTCTACATATATATATATATGTACACCCTTAACTTCAAATACCCCAAAACTACATCCCCTTTATACGCCCCGAACCCACGAGGCGACGAGCCGATGACCGCTCGGACGACCCGAAGTTGTCGCCCGAGGAGGCATTTCCCAGATCGGAAGTTTTTAGGATTTGGGGTTTGGGGTTTAGGGTTTAGGGTTTAAGGGTTTAGGGTTTAGGGTTTAGGATTTGGGGTTTGGGGATTAGGGTTTAGGGTTCAGGATTTAGGGCTTAGAGATGATTGAGGGTGTTAGGGTTCTACGGATTGTGGTGTTATGGTTTTACGGTTTTAAAGTTCTGGGGTTTAGGGTTTTAGCGTTTTTAACGGGTTTTTGGGGTTGAGGTTGCAGGATTACGGTGGAAGACGGAAATCTAGCACCCAACTAGGACCCCAACAACATTGTAATTCCCAAAAAATTGGTGAAAGACTTCCTTTGTCCAAGTAGGACTTACAGGGATAATAGTGAGACGTCTCCCATACCAACAATACTGGCCTCTCTACCATGTATTGGGGTTAGAGGCTATCATTATGGATATCCCGAAACGTTTTGCCTGGGCCCGGAGTCAACCAACGTATACCCTGGTGCTCATCGGAGCTATAGTCAAGAACTCCTAGTATCCCCCTCATAGCCCCTATAAAAAAATTCCTACATAATCCCGAGTAAGCCCCCTTTAAGGAGTTCAGACTTTAAACCCTAAACACTATATGGCCCCCTTTAAGGAGTTTAGACTTTGGCTCATATGTGTTGCAGGTACAGGGCCCTGGAGACAAGGAGCTTCTACTGCTTGTCTTCCAGACCTTTGAAACTTGAATATCCAATCCCAATCCTTCATTCCCCGAACAATGACCCATCCACCCCCCTAAAAGCAAGCCTTCCCACCATGACAGCTTTGTTTCTTGAATAAGGTGCATTTGATGATAGGGGGTGGTAGGATTTCTGATTAGGGGGAGTGGGTTACAACCGATTCCCTAGTTGATGGAATCCAAACTGGTAGTGCCATCTCACTTTCGGTCTAGGGTGCAGGGTCTTGGGTTCTAGCTAGTAACTAGCAAGTTTTTGCTAGTTACCCCCCCTCTCAAAGCCACTAGACTTTAACTGCACCCTAAACACTTGAATCCTCAAAGAAGACCTTAAGCCTTTGTAACCCCAAGAATCTCTTATGTAGCCACATATACATTACGATCCCTTTAACCCTTACACCCCTGAACCACTACACTCCAACAGCCCCACGGAATGTGTGGAAAACCCTGAGCTCAAAAAAACCCTAGACCCTCGCCTTATATGAGCCATAGTCTAAACTCCTTAAAGGTGGTTATATAGGGGATTATATAGGGGACTACAATAGGGGATATTAAGGGGGATACTAGGAGTTTAGACTATAGCTCATATAGGCCTCATGTATGGGTAGACTAAACCCTAAACCCTAGAAACTGCCCGGCTGACATTTCCCCTAAGAAGGTGAAGAGAAAGAAGGAGGAGGAGATGAGGTACACTTTGCTGTGAATGCAGAGCGCTCTTAAAGTTTAGGGTGTAGAGTACAGAGTTTAGGGTTTAAGGTCGAGGGTTTAGGGTTGTGGTTTGCGGAATTAGAAGCCCTTCAGGCTCCCAAGTGCAGTGCAAGGAAATAATGGTGTTCGAGTCTTTGATCACTGTGTGAGGATCCTGCATGTTTTAAGCTTGCGGTCCACGCCAGCCTCAATCCCCTTGTACAGCCAACATGGCGGGGGGTATAGCGACCACGACGCTTGCTTTCCCATTTTTGGAGTCGTTTGTTTTTAAACTACATTCGGCACGCTGCCGAAGAGCTGATCCGGCTTAACCTGGTTAGTGGGATCCCAATCCAAATACCATTCGCAGGATTAAATCCGTAAAGCTACGTGTTCGAGTATAGTAAGATCGTGTAGGATTTTTCGTGTCCTCAGCAGGGCTACTCTGGTACCATTGGAGAGATAGTATATGTGTGTATACACATGCAGGTAAACATGAAGGGACTATGGCAAGACCATGCGGGTCTTGACTCGGTATTCCACCATTTCAGAATGGATTGAATTTGCTATGGCTCAGAAGCGGTTGACGGCTGAGTCCACCTAAGCCTACACTCCATTTTTTGCGCATCTGGACATCCTGGACCCCTACGAAATTCAGAGGGTCCTAGGTCCTACGGAGCACGTAGCGATCCTCGTATCATTCAGGCTTTCTTCGATAAGGTATATTCACACTTCAGACCCTTGCAAATGCTGGCTCTCTAACTTCTACGCCTGAACTCCGTTCTGTTATTCGAAGACTAGGCTCTAGAGGGTGGGCGAACACGACGCGATACACCACAAACCTTGGGCCCAGAAGTGCGGGGATTTTCTACCTCAGAATGTAGGTTCCAGGTCCTACTAGGAGCAGGATTCTTGTGCTCCGGACTGTGCAGGTTGTAGCTCCAGGACCCTTACGAGCCTTACTAGTTTCGATGTTCCTTTCCATTCTCGCTATATAACCCTATACTGCCCTATTTTGCCCCTTTATGACACTACGTATATACCCTTTTCAGAATGCCCCTTGAAGCCAGCCTCAACCCTCTAACCCCTAGACCCTAATCTCCAGCTCCCGCTGTGTACGCAGGCTAAGGGAGGAAGAGCTCCAAAAGAAACGCGAGAAGAAGCGCGCGATGGAGCAGGAGGCTAGGTTTGCTATAGCATGCTAGAAACAGAGATACGGATAACTATGATGGTGGTGGTGGCAGCGGCGGCGGCGGTGGCAGCGTCATGGTCGTGATCATGATCGTTGTCGTTGTTTTCGTCGTCAGCGTTGGCGGCGGCTTCGGCGTCGTAGTGGTAGTTTTACTAGCAAGGATTGTCATAGAGCCCATGCACATATCATATCCAGCAGCTACCGTTGCCGGCGCGTCTTGCACAGAAGATTGTTCGCAAATTAAACACAGTCTCGGCCACATGATGCCTGTCTGCTACGAGCAATGGATGCTATCTACCAAGCCAAGTGCATTCGGGAAAGCTTTCGCTCTGGAGCCTCGGGTTGGACCTCAACCACTCTAAGTCTAAGGCCCTGATGTAGAGAGCATGTGTACCTGACAGTAGCCAACCATGACCAAGTGATTCTGATCATAGTGGACCTCGCCTGCAAAAAATGCCTTCGCGTTTTCTAGGGTTGAGAAGCAATACTTTCTCTATCGCGCCCCATCGAGAGAATTGTATGCCAATATAAGTATAATGGTCCTAGACTCCTTGTATATTTATGGTATAGGGTACCCCCTCTAGACCTCAAATCCAAGATTGGTAGACGTTTGAAAGTTTGGCTCGCTGGGCGTGGAAAGAGAAAGGAAAGTTTTTCGCATGTAGCCAGCCGTAGTCCCATAATCAGCGTACCGCACCCCTAACCCGTGCTTCCTGATGCCCTAAACCCTACACCCCAGATTGTAGAGGCCTCGCACTGATGCGAACGGCGAGAAAGAGTTGGGATTGGATTAGGGGCTGCTATAAACGCGGTTTAGGGTTTCAGGCCCCACAAACCGCCAGTAAGTTTGATTTAGGACGACAGCTGGGCCCTGTATTATCATTGCTACTTTACCAAGAATACTTGTCATTATGCTTACTCTGATTTCTCTTAGTATTATCACTATTCATTACTATCTACTGTTACATCACCCTTACTAATATAAGTGTTCCGATTATATCTGCTATGCGCATTTGTGTTTTTAATATTTCTACCAGATAGCTGGGCCCTCCACACCCTAAACCCTAAAGTTTCCTACAGCCTCTGATCATGCCAGGAGAAGACCAAGCACGACGATAGGCGAAGCCCTATTCTCTGGCACGTTTGGGTTTAGGGTTTGCTTAGTGCCTTGTATTGAGCTTAGGGTTCCAAGAGGTAAGGGTATAGGCATAGGGGTACGTGGGGTCATAGAAAATAGGGTTGTTCGAGGATTATATAGGTTAACGTAGTGTTGTTTTTGGGCTTGAGGGATATGACCCCAACATCAGGGTTCACAGGGATAATGGGAATGGAAATGGAAACTGCGCTCTAGGGTTTCGGATTTCGCGATATGATACCAGTATTGGAGACTCGAATGGAAAGAGAACGGAGCATGTCATGGAAACTGGGAGAGTTTAGTGGTTTTAGGGCCCCCCCCCCCGCTCAGTAACAGCTGGACAGTAATCAGAATGTGTTTATTTAGAGCCCTTAAGACCTGTGCTTAGGACTTCAACTGGAAGGTCGCCTTTACTTTTCCATCAATCCTTATAAACCCTAATATTGGGTCATATCCCTTACACCCCAAATGATCCCTACATAAACCTATAGTCCCCCTTAAGTAGATAGAATATGGGGAATATGGGGATTTGTTTATGATAGACCCAAAGCCATATGCTATCTACTTAAGGGGGGACTATATGGGGATTTCCCAAAATTAGGGGTACCTTTTTGAGGGTCCCGATTATAAAGGCTATAGTATATTGGGGTCTATATTGGGGTACCCTAATTTTGGGAAACTACCACATAACCCTATAAGAAATAGCAGTTTCCATTTCATTTTCCATTTTCTTTTCCATTTGATTCTCCATTATAGTAGGCACCCATAATTTTGGGAAACCCTAATCCCTATAAACCCCTATATAATCCCAGTTTCCATTTCATTTTCCATTTTTTTTTCGTCCTGGGCTTGCTTCGGGCCTGGGGTTTGATCATTGGAACTCTGTCTGGAAGTCACATTGTGGGCCTCCAAGTTCAACATGGTTCTTACCGCTGTGGGTTTAGGGTTTAGGGGTTAAGGGTTTAGGGTTTAGGGTTTAGGGTTCTTACCCATGCGATAGGGTTAAGGGTTCAGACAAGCGATGCAGATCCTGAACCTCTCCCACGCCTGCCCCATCCTTTGAGCCAAGAGCTTGTGGATGTCAAGGGATCAGTGCAGTGTGCATGTGCTGGGCTACACTTCTCAAGGGGATTCAGGAACCTTCCTAGAGGCCCAGTTCTCCGGTACCTTCTCCTGAGGCTTGCAGAGATGTGTGGGCCTTCCCGAGCAAAGCGCGTGTCGGTTCTCGCCAGGAAATCCAAAGACAGACGGATGGACGATGACAAGGGTAAGGACAGCCAGGAGCCGGTTGGGGTGGGTGGGGGCTGGGAGGTTGACGGCCTCGCAGGATTACAAAGGATTGTATGCAGAATAAGTTGCTGCTTTCACAATCCTGCTTCTGCTGTTTATGCTTTTTCGGACACGGGATGGACTCTGAATCTGCAGGAAGCAATATGATCTGCAGCTTTCTCTCCTGGGTTGCTGCAAAAAATCCAACTATGGGGGCTTTTCTCAAAGCATTGCATGTGACATCCTTCCTAGCTCCTGTCAAGCCCTTTTTTGCCCGTCGGGCTCCCAAACACACGCGATTTTCCCAGAAAACTTCCCACTATGAAAGGCAGGGCTTCGCCAAAGGCTCGGACTCAAGATTGTGGAAGCTATCCCGATAGCTCCAAAGGGCATGAATTTCCAGAAAAGGAGCATCCTTCTCATAGGTAGCCCCAATCGGACAATCTTCTTTTGGTGACGTGAAAATCCTCCCTGTGTATTGGTACTTACCTCCCTACAGCCATTGCAGCATCAGCAATCCACTTGCTTCTGCAATATGTCTGCTAGTATAATCTGAATCCTTCGAAGCCCGTAAGGCACCTCCTCTTACGCGAAACCTGCACATGTTGAAACAAAGACGAAAAGCATGCTGGGAATTCAATCCTACACGAAACCTGAATGCGAAGTTTTACAGTATGGGCAGTTCCTGCCAAAAGGTTCCCCCCGATATGCCCGAGCCTTCCGAAATCCCGCATCTTGGGACCCCCCAACAAAAAGACCTTGCAGAGGACGGACCAGGTTTTACTCTAAAGAAGATGCCTGCCCAACTTGGGGGTTCCCCAAAACTGGGGGGGCTGGGGCTTTTGTAAGATCCCTAGACTAAGGTCTCTTGCATTTTCGGGCCTGTATTTGGGTATCCTCATTTTTGGAAAATACCACTTCTCAACCCCAAACAGCCACAGAGTGCAGGTTTGGGCTTTAGACCTATTGGGCTTTGGAGTTTTAGGGCTCAATGTCTGGCTCTGCACCCTACACCCTAAACCCTAAGTCTGCAGAGGAACGATCCTCTACTGTCGGTGGTTGTCAAAATTATGTTCCCTTTTTGGAGCCTATTGTAATACGGCACCTAATTTTTAGGGTACCCCAAAAGTAGGGACCATAATTTTAACAACCACCCATGCACCTGTGTAGGGCAGCTTGTGGGGCAAGATTCTGTGACCGGTTGGTAGAAGGGAATGGATCCCTATATGAGAAATCCGATATAACAGTTTGCCATGGTAGCTCGATTTTTTTAACATGTACACTTTCAACCCCAAATAGTAGCTGTCATTTCCCTTTTCTTCATTCCATATCACCAACCAGCACACCTTGAGCAACCAACAAATGGCTGTCAGGCAGACAAGGAAGATGCAAAGACACACGGCCAAAAGACCACGAGAGATTCGTTGCCCTAATCCCCTCCCCTAAGAATAGACTCCCGCCAAATACTGCCATTATATTTTGGGGAAATATCTTCTATCAGTGGGGGTTCTTATCAGGGGTGGGCTACCGGGAGAGTATGGCTAACTAAGGGGCATCTTAGAAGGGATTGCGGGAAGATGAACTTGATTAGGCGGGGCTCATGGAACTCTCCATCACCGGCGGCTCTACATCTGCACAATGGGGCCCATGGGATCAACTTTCGCAAAGCAGGCGACCTTCATTTTTTTGGAGGCCCCATTTATTGTAGAGGTTGGCACTTTGCCAGGCAGATTTCAGACTTGGAGCTGCCTCAGTCCTGTCAGTAGAGTTTTCAAGCGGGAGCTGCCTGCAACCATCCACCAGCAGCCCTACCAATCGCGTGGTTTGGGGTGCAGGGTTTAGGCGACTCTAGTAAACCTTGATATCAGACACTTGTTTCCTGTCTTTCTGCCGCGTTCAAATGCTTTAAGAAGCGTCTCCAATGTTTTGCCCCTGTTTTTGTGTTGGTTCGTTGTTATTACTATCATCATGCTTTTCATTGCTAGTACTCCGAGCTTGCCAGATTGCCTACAGGCCAAAAAAAGTACTAGGTTGCTATTAAGGTGCTCAAACTAAGTCACCACTAAGGGAACCGTTGCTATTCGCCAAATACCAGTGGATTAACCTACCTTAAGTTCCTTAACAGCAACTCCGATTACATTCTGAACGCTTCCCAGGGTATGCTTGTTGCCTTCGCCAGCAATTGAGAAAGCGAAGGATGACCTGTCCGTCTCTAGTCATATTCCGCCTATTGGCAACAATGATGTTAGTAATTCTTCAATCCTCTACATTCCCTCCTTGTTTCCCTAGATAAGCCGAGTTTCCAGTTCAATTTCCCTCTTTCTTTCCATTTGCCCTAGAATGAACCCAGCGTCTCCTCAAGCCCCCTGACGGAGGCCACGCTGGCTATCGTTTTTTGAGTTTAGGCCTTCTTTAAAGGTTTAGGGTTTAGGGCATTTGGGGCCCTATGATGGATTACTTGACTGTACTGATCAGGGAGCTCCTCAAAAGCCATTTAAAGATGATCTCGCTGGGGACCTCTGCAATCCTCTTACATGTCCTCTTCGGATCAGGCCCCATTTCTTCATCAAGGGGGCCCCTAAGCCCTAAAGTGCTCTTACTAACACCCCCAAACCCTGAACCCCCCAAACATCAACCCCTGCACCCTACGCTCCAAACCCTAAATTCATATGGCTGCCTTGAAACCCGAGGAAGAAAGAGGAAGACACCAAGAAGCGGCTGGATAAAGAAGCCAAAGTCCTGCGCGAGCAGGAGGCGCCGCTGCGTGTGAAGCCACACTTGCGAAGAGTTTTGGAATTTGGGGTCTTGAGGGTTCAGGGCCTCTAATAAAAGGCGAAGATGGTGTTTGGTCTTCATGACCTGTGCTTGAGTGCTGTGTGTCTGTAGAAGTGGGTGGGATATGACGCAGCGCAGCCCCTTGCTCACCGCTGGTTAGCAGGGAATGACGGAATGGACAAGAAAACGGAAACTACCCTGTTACGTCTTGGCGACTATAGTTGCGGATCCATTCCTTGCTAACTCGAGGCAAACCCTAAACTATTATCCGCGAACCCTGTACACACCTATAAGCTATAAACCCCAGTTTGCCTTTCGTTTTTCATTTTCTCTTGCATCTGATTCTCCGTTATTGGGTGTGATACCGCTAGATAACCCCCAAACCCTAATCCCTAAACCCTAAGTTTGAACCACATGTAATCCCCGAGCTTCGGGTTGCTTTAGGGTTTAGGTTTATAGATCTAGGGTTCAGGGTTCGGAGTCTACGGTTAAGGGCCCATCCAGAGAAGCATACTGTTGTCGGGGGTTCTTCGTGCTGAATGTAGGGCCTTGGCTGCTGCTAATTAGGTTATAGGCATCACCGATATGAGGATACGCCATAGCATGGATCACCATATTCCGGGGCAGACTTACAAGGGGGGCCGGCACTGGTGGCACCACCTATGTAAAGGACCCACTCTTGACAACCCTACCATTTTCCTCCTAAACCTTAAGCGTTAAACAAGCCCTAGCCTTAGACGATGTTTTCTGCCTCTCTAGCTGCCCTGACAGGCGATGCTCAATGTCCTCAAGGTTCTGCAAAAGCGCCTGCGACAGCACAAAGTAGTCGCTTAAGGTTACATAGCAATATGTGAGGAGACATGGGAAATTACAGGGTGAAGAATTTTGGCTTGGATTTGTTCCGCCTTTTTGATGGATGAGTACCCCAAGACCCATGTTCTTTTCTGTAGCTGGCTTCGAAGCCTAAGTAATCAGCAACATCATGGTCCTAGATTTCTTGTCTAGTTGTGGTATGGATTACCTTCCGAGCTATAAGTGATATTGCTAAGTGTTTAGGCACTAGCAACCGTACCAGGGTGTGATATTGCCCCTGCCCAGGCTCTCACAAGCAACACCCGAGACCTTCGACTCCCTCAAGAAGGACAGCATGGCAGCTGTGTAGTTTAGGTTTTGGGGTTCCTGGGATGCACTTGAAAAGACCTCGACAATGAAGGATCCATAGTTTGGCCAAGCGCTGCCCAGACCTCCCAGACATCCATAATGATAGATTGCATACCATTTTTGTTGTGTTCAAAGCTATCATCTTAGCAATTGGGAGGTCTAGGTGGGTTCAGATCCCTCAAAATGTGGCTAGGCGACGGAGCCCCAATGCTCCCAGATTGAAGTAATGTCCGGGTCCAAATAATTGCCAATTTTATGGTCCCGGTAAGGGGTTTATAGGGGATGCTTCAGGGTTAAGGGCCTAGTTTAATCATGGAAAATCAAGTGGAAGAGTTAATGGAACATGAAATCGGGGTTGCATAGAGGTTCGTAGGGGTGATTATCAGTGTTATCAGCATCATTCTCCTAAATTCCTTGTACAGACAGTGGGATGGAGTACGTCAAAAAGACCTCAAGGATATTGGTAATTATTCAGGCCCCCACATCACCTGCAAGCACTGAGATGGTAGCACACAGGGAACACTTCAACGAGGCTGGAAAAATTAACCACCGGGTTACCAAAATTGTGAGCCACGGATCTTTGCTTCGCATGTGCTGTGCTTAGGGAAGCATCATAATTGTGGTATTTGCGGGTTTATATTGGGGTCCCCCAATTTTGGGAAACAACCAGATGTATGTTGGTTACATGGGGTGTCATCGAGGTTAGGGTCGCTTTGGGGGTATCCTGAATTCGGGGGGATGGGAATTAAAAGGGACCAGAAGTTGGACAACCCACAGCCAAAAACAGGTCATGCAAAAGTCCCTGGAAATAGATGAAGAATAGGATTATTGCTAGTAGCATTGCCGAAGTGTCCAAGTACCCAGTAGTCGCATACTTCCCCAAAACCTGTACCATGATCAATATTACCCAAAAACGGTCCTGGACTCTCCGAGATTACCCTTAACCCATGGCCGCGCCAAGCCCAAATCCAAGCCTGACGATTCGCAGGAGCTTGATGGGGTCGCTGCCTCAAACGGATTGCGCAGATTCTGGGGTTTAGGGTTTAAGGCTTTACGGGTTTAGAGCTTGGGGTTTAGGGTTATCAACCCATAACGATATCCCTGACGGCAATCCCAGCAATGCCTTCGCCCAGCAGGTTTTCGCAGTGTAATAGCAACACAGACAAAGTAAGGATAATTTGAATGCTGTTCACTGGTCAGAGAAGTGTTGGGATAGGGCATCACAAGGCCTAAACATGGTGCCACGGTTTGAGAGCGACAAATCTGCACATCGCAGAGTCCTCAAGGCCAAATAGCCTCCTTTGGGCGGCATTGCTGTAGCCATAAGTTCAATAAACACCAGCGCAAGTCAGATCAGCCACGTCGGGATCAGGATTATCTTCCACCAGTTGTCTTTCTCGAACTCAGAGTGCCGCTACATACCCTCAATCTTATATGTCCACTCTAAGGACCACAAGAAGAACTTCAGAATTTGAGAAGCACCCCCCAAGAAAGCCTCACAACATACCGACGTCCACGCGTGGCAAGCAGAGGTCCTGCGAACAGAGCTGCCCGAGACAGGTGAGCAGCAGACGGTTCTCAAGGCTGGCGTGCTTAGGATTTAGAGTTGGGTTTCAGGATCTGCTTCTGATGTAAGACTTAGGATGTAGAATTCAGGATGTGAAGGTTTTTTTGGCCTGAGGGCCTAAGATTTTTGGTGAAGGGTTTAGGGCACGGAGAATAGCGGCAATGAGGACCCTGGTAAGAACGAGGCACGCTTAGAGTATTTGGTACTAGGTACTTGGGTACAAGGTCACCCCCTCCCCCTCCCTCCTGATGTTATATATTCCCGCTACGGTATACTGTACCATAATGTGAACATCTCATGTTGTGGTGCGATTGGAATCTTTTTGTATTTAGGGGAGGGGATTCGTCCAGACTTTCTTGTTTGAGTCGTTTCTGCAGTCTTGTATTCCCAGCTTACCAGGGTTTAGGGTTTAGGAATGTTTGGCTGTTTGAAATTATCCCTCAGGCTCAGTATGAAAATCTCGTGCATAAGCTCGATGAATAGCTGCAAGCTTCTTACCCTGCGCTTCAGTCATGGGCCAAACAAAAAGGTATGTCTGTGATTCAACCGGCAGCCATACCCTCGAGAAGACCGTTTTCGTTAATAAGATCTGCCAAACCAAGAGCAAACAAACAATCAGAGAAGCATGTTTCTGTCAACAAGTTCGTACGCTATTTGATCAACCAGGCGCAAGAGTAGATAAAGCAGTTGGATCGGGTTTCATATCATGCTGCCTGCAGGCTTTGTCCCTAAGTCTGGCCTCATTACAACATCCTGTGACGTCTATTGGAGGTACTCTATTCCATGATTGCACACACGGAATCCGAATCCAGAACCATAATATTGGCAATTAATTACGCCCTCATGGAATGCCTGCTCTTCCTTCAAGCGTTCTCAGCTGCCTAGCTCGCTGCGGCACAAAAATACCAAAGTTCTTTCAGAGCGCTTGCTACTAAAATAGTCCCAACATGATCTCATTTCATGTAACTCCCAGATCCACCCCTTTAGACTGAGGGTGTGATGGGTCTCCATACCACACCCGCCCCCCCCGCCCCCCTCCGCGTCAAACGCCCGTAATTATCCCCAAGCCTTCACAACCCTAAACCCTACACTAGGAGACTTCACATCTAACAATATCTTCTTGAGGCCTTCTTGAGGTACTTTCTACAATAAGAAAAGTATATTTACATATATATATATATAGAACCTAGGAGCACACTCTTGGCAATTACGTCCACTGAAACAGCAGATAACCCACATGAACCCTCATAACGATAACGTAAACCTAGCATCTTCTTTTCCAGTTGATTCTCCATTGTTGGAGTTATCTCTCTAAACCCTCGACAACCCCTACCTAATCCACACATAGCCTTAAATAATCCCTACATACTGCCTATAGTACCTTACATAATCCATTCTTGTTCATTCTTCAGGCCCCTTTCTTACATTGCTTTCCCTTCCCCAGGCGGAAGCCGACCGCGTTTTGGAGTATGCAAAGCTTTATGTGGCGGAGGCCTGCTGGGTTTAGGGTTAAGGCTCAAACAGATATTGAATGGAGGGATCTTGCGCACATACACTCAGACATATACATGTATATATATATATATGGATTTAAATATATACACACTCACATGTGTAATGATAACGGAGTACGTCTCTCTCTCTCTCTCTCTCTCTCTCTCTGTCTGTCTCTCTCTTTCCCGAAACCCTATGTCATAGTAGTTTGATGTAGTGGCTATAACCTGCATCACCAGGTCTTGTAAGCCTTTGTTCGGGCAGGCGGCGGTTGCTAGGCAATTTTGCATTGATGCTGGCAACTCTGCAAAACTTGCGCTTCATCCCTAAAATCAAGCCCCGAGACCAGAAAAGCAGCACACAAGGGCATGTCCATTGACTTAAGCTTTCTTTACGTCACACTTTTCTGTCCGAATAGCGAAGTAGAGGGTCTAGAAGGCCATCGGTCCCTTGAGATGGAAGCGTAGTTTTGCTTGCCTGCAACTTGCACCTTCCAAAAATCCGGGGTTCGAGATTCTGTTGCGTCCTACCCCTCCTGTGAGGATGACTACTGTTACCATCGCCATAATGACCACGACTACTACTACTACTACTCTTCCCGAACCTTATAATTCTGCACTTCTGTGCAAAGGTGTCCGGCAAGAAGCCATCCTGAGTGTGAAGGCACTTTGGATTTCGAGGCTATCAGAAGGACTGCGCTGAAAACCCCAGCGGTTAATTGAAGGATTAGGGTTCAGGGGTTAGGATGAGTTGAGGGTTGAGAGTTGAGCATTCAGAGCTTGGGATTCAAAATGTTGTTTGCACATTTTTATTCTTGCTATTTTTCAGCTGGGATGTCCGGGCTAGGAACCCCAAGAATATATCTGATTGCTCCACACGAGCTCCTTTTCATATTGGGAGGGTCCGTCCAGGCATGAACGGGGCCAAGCAAGTGAGCAAGATTCTTCAAGACCTGTCGTCTTGCTAAGTGTATTGCAGTAATCTAGTGTAGTACACTAAGCCACAAGCCCTGTTTTCATTGGATAGTCCCCACCGCAGATTCACGGTGGTTGTTGTGGCGGGATTGGCTTCATGCAGCAAATTAAGGTTGCTATCCTTAATGCTTTGCGGTCTACTTACTGGCGCTTAACGGGAGTGAGGCAGGGAGTGAGTATGGGTGCTAACATACGGGGTTGTAGAAAGGTTCATCATGGGGAGTCACTTCCCTGCTCTCCCCTCAGCACCAGTAAGTCTAGCCAAGGTCCGATAGCAAACTCTAGACACTCAGACCATCAATCCCGTAGCGGCGCGGGGAGAGCAAAAGTTGAGCAGTAGAGTAAATGGACATACGAATTCCTCAACAGGGAGTAAGATTATGTTTCCTCCTGTTCTTAGTATTTCAGAAGGCGAATATAGTCTTACTGGTTACAATCACCACCAGCAGTAAGGTGATGTTCTCCACTCTTTGTTACTATACTTCCTATAAGAACAACACAATCGTATTCGGTTCAATCACCACGAACACACTACCCACTTGGCAAACGGTACGCAGGGGTTTTCAGTGTCATCCGGAGCAGGAAAGCTGCCTTCTCTTGGCTTTCGGAAGGCCATGACAGGAGCTGAAGAAGCAAGTATTGTAGTATTACTATGATTAGTACTGTTTCTACTACTTGAATCATTACCCATATCCTTCCCCCATAGTCCTGATCCATTTTGGGTAGACCGTGCCCAAGAATTTCGATTTACTTGAATTTAGGCGGATGCATTCGTTCTATTACCCCTGTTCTCAGGCAATTGCTATTACCCGGCACTCGAAGCCTTATTTAGTTTGCCATTAAGATTGTTGCCATCACGGTCGCATGCTTCTAGTGGTTCAGGATGGATTTGCCTGGTGCATTCGTAGATGTCTGCTGTAGAGCAGTGACAATCATTATTCAATCTTTCTTACGACATGAAAATCA